GCCTCTCCTATTTTAACCGCCACCTTCCGGTCATCCATCCTTTTCCCCTTGCACGTAAAACCGTCCTTTTTGCTTTCTTTGATATGCCTTTACCTGTACGGAACCGGTAAGAAACCCGTAAATTCTTAAAAATGCACACGCTCCAACGCCCCCTCCCTCCCCAGGGGGGAGCTTCCAGTCACCTTCCTTTTGAAACTAAATTAACGGACTCTTGCAATTAATTAAGGAATTAAAGGTGGGATTAAGGGGTGATTAATAAACTAATTCAAAAAAAGTGATAAAGGGGAGGTGTATTAAATGAAGAAGATATGATGCAGTGATCCGTATCCGTTTCTGTTTCTGTTTTACTCGTACGTCGTACCTACTACCTAATACAGTAATACTTGTTGTTTGGTGTGAAGGAAGGGCGATGTTGGATTTTTTTTTATTTAATATTATATGTTTTGTCCGATTTATTTTCGGTTATTATTCTTTTTTCGCTTTTTCAACAGAAAATTATTGATTGACTTGGAACCTTGGGTCGGCGGTGATCTCGGTGGACAATGTAGTAAGTGGCATTAAATTCGATGTCGAGATTTAACTGTTTTATTAAGCTTCCAACCTCAAATATGGAAACACTATTTCTTTGCTTCTAGACAAAAAGAATTTTTTATTTATTTTTACAATAATGAGAAAAGATAGAATAGGGGTGTCCACTATCTTATTTACTTTCACATGCAATAAATGAAAATCTAGGATATTTAAGTAAGGATTATCATTCTATGTCCTTCAAAGTAAAGTTTGTGATGGTTGAAATGAAAAATTAAATACCTATAAAAAAATGAAAAATTAAATGCCTACAATGTTGAATTTCACACTTACATTGCAATTCCTACATTGTAAAAAATTCTTCGATTCTTGCAGGAATATGAACATGTTTCAAGACAATAAATTAACCAGTAGGAGAGTTGTTTTATCACCCATAATAATGTCCCAAGTAGTAGGAAGCAATTCATTGCAAATATTACTGGTTTCATTCACAAAGCCATTCCAATTACATACTTGAGAGCCTCATTGTGTAAAGGTCCAAAAAAGATAATTTTATTTGCTTCTCTAATGGATAAAATAAGAGACAAAATCTTAAGTTGAGAAGACAAAATTTTATCCCTGAGTGGCTGCATTACCTTGTTACGGAGTATTCTTTCTTTGATGTCAATTTATCTCCTTCAAGTATTCAAGCCTCTAGCATGTGTTATTGAGAAAATTGAAAAGTTGTTTAATAATTTTTATGGGATGGTTCTACACAGGGTAAACGGATTTACGAGTCATCATGGTCTACAATTGCAATATTGTGCTGGTCGGTTACCATTCCATATCCCACCTAAATTACATGATTCTCAAGTTTGAAGGAGAATGGTTGGGAAAAGACAAATTTTGGAGTTGAATATTAAATGGTGAACTTGCAGGGGTGAAGTTTTTTTTTTTTTTTGGCACGATTGCTAGATGGGTGAATCTTCTCTAGTAAATTCTTTCCCTTTCTTTAATAATTTCATGACTAAAGTTTGTCATTTTTCTAGGAATGATGCTTAGGATGTGGAAAAGTAAAAAATAATGCTGCTAGAAAATGTTGTTCGTGAAATTGTACATATTGACCCCTTCAGCGATGATATTGCAAATTGGATTCCTACATCCAATGGTAACTTTTTTACTAAAAGTTCATGGGAACTAATACATTAATAGCTACCAACAAATTCTCTATGTGAGTTCTTATGGCATAAAAGCATTCCATTTATATAATCTTTTTTTTTTTTGTGGAGAATGGTTAATAATTGGATTCTAGTGGAGCTCAGAATTAAGTTGAAAGGTATTCATCTAGCTTCCAAACATCTTGGCTGCAATTCGAAAGAATCATTACTACAAGTGCTTGTGGGAGTGTCCAATTGCTAAGCAGGTATGGCTTTTTTTTGTAAAATTCCTTCAAATCTATATTATTTTTCCCTATAATATTAGTCAAGTTATATAGGCATGGGCATATTCAGGAGACTAGTCTAAACCTAGTCATATTCGCATATTATTACCACTAGTTATCTGTTAGTTTTTATGGATTGAACGTAATGATATAAAACAAAAAAGCCTTAGTATGTATCACAATAAGGTTGTGTGGTGTGTCATGAATTATTGACACAAATTAATCAAGTTAACCTTTTGCATAAATGTCAGTGGAAAAGTGATACCCAAATAGTACAAATATGACACTTTTATTTCCCCCAAGTACATCCAATGCAACCTAAAATTATTAATTGGTTGAAACCATTGACAGGTGAAGTGAAGTTGAATGTTGATGGTAACTTTAAAGACAATTCTCAATGTGCCATAGGAGGGTGGTTTTACAAGACCATATAGGGTTTTTCAAATAACCTTGGTGCTGCTTACTCATTAAAAGTAGAATTATTAGCCTTATATACAGAATCGTTATTATGCCACGAATATCATTTTTCAAATGTATGGATAGAGATGGATGTCGTTGTTATAATTCAAATGATAAAGGGATGACACAAAAGATCTCATGATACTTGTTATCTTCTTGTATTTATATGAAAATGTCTGCATTCTATTTCATTTCATATTTCTCATATTCATCGAGAAGGGAATCAAGCAGTTAACTATTTATCTAATAAAAGTTACTCTCATCAAGGTCTCCAGGTAATTTTTAAAAATTGAGGTAATTTACGAGATATTTTTAAATTAGATAGATTGAATTTATCTTATGCTCGTTTTAAATAAATGTAAAAGAATAGGACTCTTAATTTATTTTATTTTCATAGATTCGTATAATAAAACAATTTTGCTTTCCATATGCATTCTTGATAATTATGCATAGAAAGTAATATTTTTACCATGTATTTTTTCTTTTAGTACTCATGTCACTCTGAAAGTATGATTTATGTCTCATCCCTTATGTATTGTTTTATTTTATTTATTAATAAAATTTTAATAAGATATTTGGATCTTGCAAGAACTTCCCGTCTAAAAAAAATTGTATCACACCTAATATAATTATTACATTTTTATTTAAATGTTTTTTATTAAAATTCTTGACATAGTTTTCAATATTATTTTTAATATTTAGATAATGATAAATGTATATATTACTTGTTCAAAAAATTAAGTTAAAATCAAAATTGATTATTATACTTTTATTTATAGCACAAATTTATTACTAATATTTGAACAAATATAATTTACTAGTATACTTTTCAATTTGGTTAAAATACAAAAAATTAACAGTAAACAATTATAAAATATTCTAATTTTTTATATATTTTAATTAAATTAAAATGTAGAATGATAACATTGTACTTTTTAAAAAATAATGACCCATCATTGTATTCCACATTTATTTTTAGAAGGAATTCCAGCCAATGGAGTTCACCATAATTACACTACTAGTATAGTGTTATAATGTGAATACGGTGTTTCCCATTCTCATTTTTTCCAAGCCTAGTGCTATAGAGGAATAATTAACCCTGTTAATTTAATTGGCCTATAAACGCAGGTGTTATTAAAGACCGAGTCTGAAAAAGTGTAACGTACCATCCAGTTGTACTTCACCAAGCGCTCCCTCTTTCGTGCTTGAAAAATGCGAAGCGAATGAAAGTGGAAGTTGCTTTGCAGCATGAAAAATCAATTGTTTGAATTGCAAGCAAGCAAATGCCAGAGCAGAGATCCAGACTGAGTCGAGTCAACAACGGTGTTAATATGTAGGAATAATGAAGGCTACCAAATGCTCATCACAGAAACCATTAACTACCCAGCTTAAAAAAATTAAATAGTGAAAAATTTGGTGATTATTCATCATTGGTTTTTCTAAATGTTAAATACTAAAAAATCTCTATATATTCCAGGGGAAATAACTTGAATCAATCTAATCTTACATACATGTTAAAAAGGAAAAAGGGAAAAAGGAAAGGAAGCACAAAAAAGCAAAGCGATACGGGGAATCGTACTTCCTGTTTTGTAACCGTTATATGGGGACAGCTTGGCAGGCGACCCACTCCTTCTTCCCCCCCCCCAACTTCTTTTTTTTTTTTTCCAAATTATTATTTTTCTTAAACATATTTTTCTATTTTTAAAATTAGGATAAAAAATAAAAAGTGAATGTGCAAAGTTAACTCTATCACGTGCATCAGCGTCGCGCGGAGGAGACACACCTGCGACTTGCATCCTCCGGCGCAGCAGACGTTTTGGGCGTTATCGTAATTTCAAAAGGGGCATGTATAGCCGTAATGGGTATAAAAGATATTTTTGTACGGTCGGCAAATGCGTTATGTAATATCACGTGACAACATGCACAACTGCATATTCATTGAATAGGATTTTTTTTTTCATTTTTGTACATATAGCTTAGATACAAAATCTTTTATTGTTAAAATATTGATTTGGTCGGTCCATTATTTTTCAATAAAGAGATGGGAAATAGACCCCAAGGAAGAAAAAAAATTGAACCCACCCATTAGGACCACGAGCTACCATCCATGCGCATACGTGGCCGCTTTTCCAACCATTTTCGAGTGTGGCGTTGAATTTTTCGATTGGGAAACATGGTGTCCCAATCATATGGCTGCAAATACTGAGCAGACATCAATCAATCAATATTTTTTAAAAATTTGTTGTCAATTAATCGAAACTTGGGTTGGCAACATTTAATTCATTAAGTTTTTGCCTTATCAATAAGGGTAAGAGTTCCCATCAAGTACTCTACTAGCCTGCTCTGAGTTTTCCTTCTTTTTTACTTATTAATTATACGAAACCCTTTATTTATTAAATCAAATGAATCCATTTTTTAATAGGGAAAGAAAAATATCATTCCAAATGCAGCCTAACTATACTAAATTC